TAAATGAGGCAGGGGATAAGAGTGAGAACCAGGCAGATGATCCACTGTGGCACAGCCTGAAGGGAGCGGCTGAGGAGGAGGAGGACCCCATGGTCCCTTCATAAACGGGTATTCTTGGGGATGGAAATAGAAATATAAAACATTATGTAGAGCTGAAAAAAAAGAGAAACACCAGAGGGATTCCTCCTTCCAGATGCACATGACAGCAGCGTCAGGAGAACCACAGACGAGTTCAAGTCATTACTGGGTTTATTTTTTAGCTAAAATTCTCCATCAATTTGATTTTTTTTTTCTCTGTTTGAGTCTAAGTTTACATCAGGTTGTTTTTGTTTTTTTCATCCGAGCCTGAGATTTGACAACAACAAACACAGACTGACAGCCCACAGAGATTAAAAACACCTCTCAGGACCTCGCATCAAATGTGTCGCAGTCAGGCTCCAATTGAAACCGAATGGTTATTTTTCTTTTTCGTTTCTTACTTTAGTCTTTTTCCCCTCTGCCAGAACAATTGCATATTGGACATGAACGTGGCCCAAACATCCATTAAAGTTGCAGCAAAAAATTGAAAAACAATGAAAAAAAACCCCAGATTCTGGCAGATTGAGAATGGGGTGTTCATTCAAACGGGCTTGGCAGCTGTCCTCAGTGGCCACCTCTGGGATGGTTGGGTGGAGCTGCAGCAGGACTGGAGGGCACAGGTGTCAGACAAAGACAAGCCAAACTGATTCTTCACAACAAAACGCTCTCTTCTGAATTCTCTGGTGAAGTTTTCCAGTTGTCATTATCTCCTCTGCTCCGTGGTCAGTGAAGAAAATGTCTTTTCCTTTTTCAGAACATTACCTGGTTATCTTTGGTATATTTAGTATGTCTTATCATGGTGGCCAGATGCTGTGCTTCGCCCCCTGGTGTTTACATTCTACTACCTGGTATTTCATCACTACTAGAAGACAGTGTGGTCCTAATACATGCCACGAATGAGTTTGTATTTTTTCCTATATTTTTAAAATACGCAAAAAAAAAAATCTTGATCTGATTTGTGCACATAATGAATCAGTGACCCATATGTTTGTCATCTACAGTATTCAGCATTTAAAAAACAACATGACTGGTGTGTGATATTATGTCAAAGCTGGAGCTGCCAGCAGGTTGAGATGAAGACCTCAGAGAAGAGGAGTGTGGTGCAGCGGCACATGATTACAGTTACAGTAAATGAGGCAGGGGATAAGAGTGAGAACCAGGCAGATGATCCACTGTGGCACAGCCTGAAGGGAGCGGCTGAGGAGGAGGAGGACCCCATGGTCCCTTCATAAACGGGTATTCTTGGGGATGGAAATAGAAATATAAAACATTATGTAGAGCTGAAAAAAAAGAGAACAGGAAGCTGATTATTAATTTAAAAAAAAATACATATATATATTTAAAGGACACAGGACATCACTGCATTTACAATCCTGCATTTAAGGTTAGACGCTGAAATTAATGACAATGAAATGGTACCAATGTGTTAAGGTTAGACGCTGAAATTAATGACAGTGAAATGGTACCTATGTGTGTATATGTACAAGTATATTTGGACAGTATATGTAAATATAAAAATGTATTGTATGTATGTCTACATATAATACATATAATTCAAAATATATGTATATATGTACACATATATTCAAGGCAAATAGATTCATAATATCCTTACTATGTGTGTATATGTACAAGTATATTTGGACAGTATATGTAAATATAAAAATGTATTGTATGTATGTCTACATATAATACATATAATTCAAAATATATGTATATATGTACACATATATTCAAGGCAAATAGATTCATAATATCCTTACATATATATATTATAGAAATATATTTCAATAGATGTATCTATACATATAGATACATATATACTGTGTTTATATATGCATACATACATATACACATATATACTATATATTTTTATATATGTTGTTTATGAATCTATGACTGAATCTTCATTCTCATTAAAAACATATTTAGAAAGAATCAAATTAAAATCACATTAAACGGCGCTGGTGGTTGAATGTTCCACTTCCACAGCCAGTGAATTACTTCGGCTCCAAATCTGGTTCTTTGTTCACTTTGGTGTCTGACAATAATTGGACACAACAGGCAATTTACAGATGTCAACAGCGACTCTCTCAGATCGCACTGGCCATTTTTCATGCGCTGACATTTTATTTATTTATTTATTTCACGCACAAAAATCATCAACGGACGACTTTTAAAATGTAGAGCATGGACCCCACCTCAAACAACATCCCACCCGCCCACACACACACACACACACCACGCGTCCATAATGACACGGTTGAAGGTACAACACACACCGTTCTACTCCTTCATTGTCTCGTCTTCCTCCTCTCCCCCAATTCCAAACTTCCACCCCCAATATCCCCCCCTCTAAATATAGTCCTTTTGAAGCATGGCACTGTTGTCTCTTCTCGCAACACTGCAAGACAAAAGTCTGTCATCTCACATCTGAGCAGCAGCAGCAGAGAGAGAACGACCAGATAAGATTGATGGGCCCCCAGAATGACGAGAACCGATATTCATCTGCCTGGCTCTGTCTCTCTGTGTGTGTGTGTGTGTGTGTGTGTGTGTAAATGAGGAGATGAAACAAAGGACGGTGGATAATAGAGGAGGAGATGATCCAAGGAAAGGGGAGCAGTTGTAACTCCACGGTGATAAAGACGACGCCACTGAAATAGAGAGAGATGTTATGACATTTGTGATCCTCACTTTGTAATTGAATAATAATCCCCCTGGAGGCCTGACCTAGTAACGCATCCTAATGTAAAGGTGTGTGACAGCGTGTACGGCCGTGTTGCTGCTACCACACACAGCTAGGGTGGAAGAATATCTCTGTGTGTGTGTGTGAGAGAGAGAGAGAACAAACACAGAGAGACCGGAGCCAGGAAAGAAACGAAATCTGTGATTTGGAAATGAAGACAGTAGGTGTCGTTGGTGGAACACAGTGCAGTGCAACACCATCACCTACTGGCACTAACGGGTCATTGCAGCCAGTCCAGTTCAGTGCAAGTTCATGCATCACTGGAGGCGAGGACAATTCCCGTCTCATCAGCTCACCTGCAGGAGCCCTTCTAATGACTTTTACTTTGTATAATTACAGATTGTGTCATTTACATAATAAATTTACTCTGTAATAAAAACCGCCATGATCACAGCAAGGTGGCGGAATGTTAAATCATTTCACATCATCGACCTGGTTGTTCAACCAGGAGGCGTTAAAGGCTGTGTGAGAACAGTGTTTAATCACACAGACACACACACACACGTGTAATAGAAACCGGCATTAACATAAAGCTGTGTTGACAGACATCAACATCTGCTCAGAATATCAACGCAAATGCAGTGCAACATGGACATTGATTATGAAATGGTGACTCCTGGTCTTCCTGTATGGATCTGTGTCAGCCTAGAGGCTGGTCAGGGTATTGGCCCCAGTCAACAGTGTATGTAATTAGGCATCAACACTTCTGTTCTTCTGTCTGCAGTGGACAGCAGTCAGTGTTCAGTGGCGTCAGGCTTCGTTCAGTTGGTCTAACAGAGGCTGATGTTTCTTTGAAAAGTTAATAACAGAAATAGAAATTAACCAGATTTTCCCTTTTATTTAAAAAACAAAGTCTGGGTTGTTTAGCAGCCACCACTTCAGAAGAGCTGGGCTCGGTCCGTTATGTAGACCATGCTCAGGCCATACATCCACACTGACAGGTTCTCCTTCCGCCTCAGTGATCCAGCCGGTAGCTGACTCACGGGGGAGAGACAAGAACACTAATTATAGTTCTCAATATATCAGGAGCGTGTCAGGATGTCTGTTTGTTTCTTGAAGGGGAAAAGACACGAAGCAGTAGTTTATCTGATGGAGAAAGTGGGGTTTGTTTACTTAGTGCTGTTGGTTTGGCTTTATTTTTTTATTTAAAAATGTTTGTGTCAGTGCAGTATCACTAAGATGTGAAGGTAGGGTGGAGCAGGTGGAGACAACGATCAGGGCTGATGTTTGACTGAACGATGGGAGACTGGTGTTAGCTTGAGCTGCTAATGACTAGTTAATGAGGAGTTAGTTAGTAGTAAACAGGTGATCCAACGCTGCAGGCACTAAATCTTTTTCCAAACATGGGTACATGGTCCCCTAGTTATACGTGTAGGTGTTGTACACAGAAGTAGTACAAAAAATGTCCAAAGGAGTGAAGAGTTGTGAATGTTTGACCATAACATTATGGTCAACATCACCAGACCTTATTTATTAACACGTCTGATTACGAAACCCTCCACCTCTCTGTAAACCCATCTGCACCTCTTACTACACTTTTTTTGTCCATTTCACTAACCTTGTGCATGTCGGGTGCCACGCTCAAGTACTTTTATGCCGTACTATAAGGCCTGGCTCCAGAGAGACAAGACAAGACACAAAGCAGAGTTTCCTCTTGGTAGCACGCGGAAATGAAACCCTTCTGGCGATGATGCATTGGCCCACGTGTAAAAAGCCACACTGCTTCCAACAAATGTCGGCGTTCACTGCCAAATATGTATTTCTCTCAGTGGTGTGTAATCAGAATGGCATCAAGAAGCTCTGAACATCAGTCTCACAGTTTAAAACGCCACAGTCAACTCCTTCCTCCTGATGTTTTGTTTTTTCTTCGTTTACCTCTACTCATCCATCATTCCACCTAGTTTGGCTCTCAGCAAATGTACATAAATCATCAGTTCAGCCCCAGTGAAGTCATCCTATTATCAAGTTATTTTCTGTTTGTTTGTTTGTTGATTTTGTGGTTATTTGCGAGCTGGAAAAAGCAAACCTCTTCTGGCAGCGACGATGAATAGCAATTAAATAAGCATGGTAGAAAAAACAATTCATTATTTGCCATCTGTGTTGCCAGTATGTATTTTTGTCCCTGTTTGTTTCTAATCCAACTTCTAACTTTGTCTCTGTTCTTTTTTTAATCCAGGCTGCGACGTGAGGGCTACACCGTGCAGGTCAGTGTGAACGACTACCTGGACATCTACTGCCCACACTACAACACCACCCAGAGGGGAACGTTAGACCGCGCCGTGGCCGAGCAGTACATCCTCTACATGGTCAGCTACCGCGGCTACCGAACCTGTGACCCCCAGATGGGCTTCAAACGCTGGGAGTGCAACCGGCCCCACGCACCCCACGCCCCCATCAAGTTCTCGGAGAAGTTCCAGCGCTACAGCGCTTTCTCGCTGGGCTACGAGTTCAACGTGGGCCAGGAGTACTACTATATCTGTGAGTCTGGTCACCTCCTGAGGTGGACAGAAGGAGCCTCGGGGGCTGTGTGTGTGTGTTCATGTTTTATGGATCCATGGTGTGTGTGGGTTCAGTGGTTTCTACTGGGGAAAGGCAGCAGGCGGTGTTTGGCCGCCTTTACGTAACTCCAAAGGTACTGTTTCTAGAATTGTTGTCTTTGATCCTGCTGGGCTACTGTAGAAATGCGGGATGTTTGTATTCAAGAGGGACCAGGTTTGAAAAAATAAAAAAATACCTCACAGTACACCTGGTACACCTGGACTAGTTTTGAACAGAGTACTACAAAAACTACAAAGTATACAGTACTTGAAAATAGTTCAAATAATAAAATGTCAAAGGCCATGACTGGCCCCCATACCCTACTTTTGTCACACCTCATTATGTATGCTAAAAAAAGAAACTGACTTTGGTTTTGGATGAAAATCTCTCTCTGTTGAAGGAACAACAACTGTTAGTTTTCTAAGGACGCTGGAAAACATATTCATGAAGATAATCTGCACTTCTGCCGATAAATTACACTGACTTGACCTTTAATATGAAATTCTAATGAGGCCGTTCTCCCCTCTGTTGCTGCTCGTCCACAGTTATTGATGGGATGATTGTGTTTCTAATAGAATCTGGGGTTCAGTCGAGGACGGACCGGTGCTGGGCTCCAGCGCTTTTCAGTTTTTACAGATTGCTGATGGGGCTGATGCCTGCAGAGGGCACACCACTGCCATGTGTGTTTCTGTGTGTGTGTGTGTGTGTGTTACAGCCACCCCCACCCACCACCACGGCCACAGCTGCCTGAGACTGCGCGTCTACGTCTGCTGCTCCACGGGTGAGACCTGCTGTAATATCTCCAGTTTTTCTCCCACTCATTTAATGCAATTTCCTTTTCTTTCATTGTCACTTTGTCTTCACTTTGCCTTTTCCTGCAGTCTCTCTGTATAAAGTCGGCACATAAAAACACACAGAAACAAAGACGGAGAGGTAGAGAGAGAAAAGAGCTATAGATCTGACAATCATGTCAGGGAGAGAGAGAGGGAGGGAGAGGGAGAGAGAGGCTGTCTCCACAAAGGGTTTGATGATAACGACTTCTCTCCTCAAAGCCTCACTCTGAGTGCTTAATGTTGTTCTCCATCTCTGTGCTATTACAGTAATGCTCCATCTCTCCCTGTGAACGACGTGCTCCTGTGAAGCCGCACAAAAGATGGAGAAGGAAAATGACACATTAAACTGAAAGATGGCGCTCTTTCTGCCAACCTCCTCTCACTTTGTCACTCTCCATCTTTCTCCTCCTCATCTCTCTTGACCATTTCGCCCTGTGTCTTCCTCACTGTCTGTCGCATCGGTCCTGATGTGAATGGTGGTGGCGGCGTGTGTGTGTGTGTGTGTGTGTTGTTCTCCCTGCTCCTCACACCCCTGCAGGCCTTTGATCAGAGCCCAGTGCTGAACGTCTCCCCTCTCTCCTCTCACCTTGTCAGCACTAATACATCTGACACTTAGACCAGTGTCAGCCCCTGTGTACACAACCTCCCCCCCCCCCCCCTCACCCCCCCGCCTTATAACAGTGTCACGGTTCATCTATGGCTGTATGTCTGTATGTGTGTGTCCCACAGCAGTGGAACCACACGAGTCCTGTTGGTGTCTGTCTGTCCTCGTCCACTTGTTAGACGTTAATCTAAAGTGTGTGTATTTATACATAAATAAATATACATAGATATACAGTATATATATATAGACATACACGTATATGTATCTACATGTGTTTGTATATGTACATGCATACATACATGTACATATATATCTATGTATATACTGTGTATACATATATATCAGCCACCATCTCTGTGAAGTACATCATCAACGTCGGAGGCTCAGTGACTCAACGCATTCATTTAACATTAAAAAAAAAATCACAGCGATGCTTTCAGCAAAGCCAAACATCGTTCATTCATGGCTAATTTGTCAGACAGACAGTAATTCTGTGTCTAGACGAGCAGTAAATGGAATAATGATTTCAATCTTCAGATGGAGGCCAGGATTCAGCCCACAGTCCAGGGTTTCTTCATGGGTTTTTGGTGTCTGTCACACACACACACACACACATATTCCCCCTCCTACGTCTGCGGCTATATTTGTACACAACTTAATGATGCCTGAAGTGAACACTGTAGTCAGTTTTGTCGTGTCTGTGTGCTGGTGTTTTCCAGTGTCCCAGGCGGACGAGGACTCCAGTCAGACTTCACCTGACTACACCGTCAGGCCAAACATCAAGATACACAACCTCGGTGAGTGCTCCCACATTTGTTCCCGTCTTACTGAAAATAAGCAGCAGCCAACGTCCAGATGCTGTCGCAGTGTTTGGCACAGCCCGATGTGGATACAGTATGGACCCGTTTTTTGTTGCTGGGTGAAGGCGCAGAGGTCAAAGTTCATTCTTAAATGGAACATTTGTTGTTGTTTTTCTCTCTCGGGAGTTCAGCAGAGGAGTAGAACAAATGAAGACTGTCTGAAGACTTACACTAATTGAGGAGTGCTGCACTGATGCAGTCCAGTTGTTGTAAATGTATGGGTTGCATTAGAGCGGATACGTGGTGTATGTGGGACCTGATGCCAGGATGATGTCAGTGGAGGGGCATGTGTTTTCACTGGAGGCCTAACTATGACATCAAGGTTTATACTACAGTACACTGTACTCCAAACACAGAGGTTACAGTGTCATTTACACTACGGTGGATGACATTCGATCCCACACAGCCCAGAGAAGTGGGCTGCAACCTAAACACGTAAAGAGACATTTTCTATAGTTTTGCCAGTAAATAAAACTGTGAGAGCTGCGAGGACACTGTGACCATACGTCTGGAGCCAGTAGTTCAGTGTATGAAGTACTGTAGTAATACTGTAGAGTTATACTCTGAGGCAGCCAACGGTTTCTAACAGGGGAATTCCAGTGTGTACTCAACTGAACATGCTCAAAATATCACCCCAAGTACAATGGAACATGAACTGCCGTTGATCTTTCGACAGATCTAGTTCTTTCTAAGTGATAGAAACAAATTAACCATTTCCTAATTTTAGACTTGGCCACTTACAGTAAGTGGTTCGCACTAATGTTGTGTCTCTTTGGTCCAAATGGTCCTAAAGCACCGAGCCAATGAAATGGCACATCACCGGGGTGTTTCACAGATGCTGTAAATACAGAGACTATTCTCCGTTAATGGGAAACACATTTAAGTCAGGAATCCCAAGTCTCTGGTCATTTTACCATCACAGATGATCATCAGAGTTGGGTTACAAAGTTCATTTTCATTTTCCTTAAAACGTACAGGAAACCAAAGCGTTAAAAAAACCTTCATCATGACAATTATAGTCCAGAAACAGTACCACAGGTGTGCATTCACTACAGATAAATCCGTCTCTTTCTTCTCTGCACAAACTTCTCAGGGTCAGCAGAGGTCTGGGGAGGAATGAAAGGTCCGTGTTTACTCAAGGAGAAAAAAAAAAAAGAGAACCCTGTCAGCGAGCGGTGGAATTGTGCAGCTGAGTGGTTACATAAACCGGCTATTTTTCTTTCCCTTTCCTCCATTCTCGTCTCAAACAAAAGCCTCTTGCTGGGAATCATTTAGCAGGATTGTTTCTGGGAGCTGTAGGCAGTGTGTGAGCGCCAGGGCTCAGAGAGTGTGACCCGCCTGAGATGGGAACCCAGATCAGCTGAGTCAGAGTGAAAAGAGTTCTTGAACCGTTGGCCACGAGCACTTTCACAGCAAGAGAGGGAGAACACAGAGAGGTGAGAAAAGTGGGGGAGACAAGTGTTCAGAGTGTGTGGTGATGGGATGGAGGGAGAAAGTCAGGGAGAGGAAGTCAGGGAGATAAAAACATGAAGGAGGCAGTGAAAGAGAAATGTAGGAGGAGAGTGTCTGACAGAGAAAGAGAGGGAAGGACAGATAAGATATACAGAGGGAGGCAGATAAAACCCAGAGTGGGTGCAGGGGGAGACGCAGAGGGGAGGGGAGAGGAGAGGCTCGGCGCTGGCTGAATTGCTCAGCACTAACTCAGGCTGGAGCTTACGTAGAATTTAATATAAAAAAACACTCTGTGGCTCGGCATCATAAAGATCCCAGCCTGCGGCGCTGTCGTGCATTTTAGAGAATACATTTGGAGACATAACACACACACACACACGCACACAGGTATTTGTGTTCCGTGAGCACCTCACACAGACAATGCATTCCCCCAGAGTCTCAGCCCAACCTCACCTATCACAAATAAAATGTCTAATCTTAATCCTCTCCTTAACTCTAATCTGATCTTAATCCTAATCCAAACTCCAAACTAACCCTGAAAAACCCTCAGATACTCGGCGGAGACCACACAAGGACAACCTGCCCCCCCTCCCTTCCCCCCCCCCCCCCCTCCCCCCCCCCCCCAACCAGAGATTTTACCGCAACACTATGTCTACTGTTTATTAGCAACACACACAAACAGACTTTTATAAACAGTGTCTGCCCCCGGTGGCTGTTCTGACCACTGCACACCCACTCATGACTCACCCTCAGGACTAGACCAGCCCACAGACGGGCTCCACGTCAACAGGGTCGACTGACCGTCAACTTTATTAGCTTATTATTAGCCTTTTCCTCCACGTCTCCGTTCCCTGATTCAGCCCAGTGTTTTCACTGAATCGATTAAAGAGACTCAGCGGAGTGGACCAGTCTGTGGGCCGGGGCCCTGACCTCTGACCCTGACTGAGTCCACACTCCTCTCAGAGTTCCATATTTAAACTGAAGATACTGCGAATACTAGAAACTTGTGTACTGTAACTGTAGTAATACTGCAGAATACTGTGGACCAGTGGTGACTGAAGAAAAAAACACAAACTAGAGTTGGATGCAGCAGAGAGTTTTGGGCCTCTGGTCTGTTATAGTCTGGCTTTTGACCTTTTGACCTTTGCCTGTACCTGCCCTGTTGAAGCTAACGTTAGCCCAGGGGTCAGTGCCTACAGCAGGGTGATCTGCCCTGAGGTGAATGTGTAGACTTGAAGTGATCAGAATGCAACCGGTGCGTCTTCTTCTTGCTGTCAGTCAAACCTAAGGAGCTTTATCGCCACCTACAGGCTGAAGTTCCCAGTGTGCCAGTGATTAGGGAACCGGGGATTTTAACAAGGCCTTTCTTTAGTCCAAATAAATAAATTGATTAGTTGTTTCAGAGAACCTGATTGGTTCTCTCCGGGTATTTACCTCCATTAGAGACACGTCCAAACAAAGCAGAGGTTTATTAAACTTTAAATGTTCAGTATTTTATGTGCCATTGTACTAAATTTCACCTTTTTGTTTTAATTTTTAAACCGTTAGCAGCACGCCTCTGTTCTGCTGTTTTCATCATAAATAATACATTCAGTTCAATTTGTTATTTTGGAGGATGTTTTAGCAAAACACGCTAACATTCTTCCAGCTTCTGGAGTGAATTAATCAGGATTTAACTCAGGAGCCCAGCAGTCTGGTTTGTACACTTCATGATTCTCCTTCTGTGAAACACATCTCCTTTAACCTTCTCCTCTGCAGCACCTTTTTTTTTTGGAGCGACCAGTGATGTTTGAGCAGGCGGTGGTTGCCCACATGGTAAATGATCCATGTGGAGAGAGAGAGAGAGAGAGAGAGATATAGTTAGCATTTACAAAAATATTTATATTTTTTATAGTTTAATAATAGAAACTAAATAATGGAAATGAATGAAGTTCCCACCTCTTTACTACTTTTGTTCTTCTACCTCCAGTGATGAGAGTCACAGTCATTTTCTCTCTGGATTTTCGGGCCCTTGTGGTGCTAGTAAATGTACCATTAAAGGGATCTACGCCTGGTAGAACCGTCTCAGGAACAGTTGTGTGGCCTCCGTCCCCAGAGTTTTATCCGTTCGGCTGATGTAAATGTTTGGGTTCACACAGTTTCTGCAGTTGTTAGCTGCACTGCATTTTTCAAGAAAGTTGCAAATTACAGAGGAACTGAGTCTTCCAGTCCCTTTACAGGCACCACGAGTTGCACCGATGTGATTCATGCCTCGTGTAATTGTTCTGTGGCTATTTTTATGAGCGCGGCTCCGAGTGAACATAAAATCCCACCTACGGCGTTTTGATTGTTCTGAGAGTCTCTCATTGTTCCAGCTAACATCATCAATGGTTAGCTAGAACAGCGGCGACGTCGGTGCCGGCTACACTGTCAGAGTCTGACGACTTAAAGTTTTCCCCACGCAGGTCTGAGTGTAGAGGACAGAACATGTCCTTCACACCAGACCTGTCCAAACTGGCCGTCCAATCCAACGCAGGTTCAACAGTTTTATTTGGCAGCGAACGTTTCCTGGTCACCAGTCTGCTGCTGAGGCTGTGGGTGGTTTATCGTGGACGGGGGAGCTGCCCCAGCATGTCCCGCTGTTGTTATACACCTCACAGACAAGACTGCGTCTGATTGCGTGCTCGGAAATTGATTGCTGCATCCTGAAATTGTACCGTGATGTTAAGTGTGGCGGCGAGGACCTTTTGGTGAACTTGTTATTGCCTGTGGCACCGCGTCGTCCTCCATATTCATCTTCCAAGGGCAGACTCTCTAAACAACAAGGGCTCAGGAGAGGAGTGCACACGACGCACGGCGTGATTGTCAAGAACCTGTCCACAGAGCTCCTATAAACATAAGGCTGGCGGGAGAGTTTGTGTTCCACCTCTGCTCAGGCTGATGTGACCGGAGGCCCCCACCGTGGCCCGCGCCCCACCGTGGACCGCAGGCCCCACTGTGGCCCGCAGGCCCACTGTGGCCCGCGGCCCCACTGTGGCCCGCAGGCCCACTGTGGCCCGCGGCCCCACTGTGGCCCGCGGCCCCACTGTGGCCCGCAGGCCCACTGTGAGCCTCTGCTCTGTTTTCGTTGTCATTGTGTCGTAGCGCGGTGTGAATGTCACCGTCGTGTGTCACACTCGCTGACAGATGTGTGTGTGTGTGTGTGTTCGTCTGGGACAGGACAAACCAGAGCAGCTGGACGGTTTGGTCTCAAATGGGGGAAAACAAAATTCCGTACATTCGCCGTGTGTCAGCTGTCAAGTGGCCGCCGCCGTCTGTCTGTCTGTTATCTTTTACCACCTTCCTTGTTGTTCTTCACTGTCAATTAATCACTTGGAGATTCAGGACGCAGCAGATAAGACTGTGCTGTCACAGTCAAACATCAGCTCATACCAGACACACAAATGCAAAGTAGAGAAAACAGCTTTAGTTTCACCTGCTGGCGTCTGTGTCTGTGGCTGAAATGGTGTGAACTCATAGTTGAACAGACGTGAGTTTTCACACTCTGTACTCTGAGAAACCGTAAGATCTTTACCTGAGAAAAAATATTCCAAATATGATAGTTATATAAAAGACTCTTTTGACAGAATATCAAAAAGGTCTCCAAAAGATCGTTAATGGACCAAAAGTGACCCCTGAGCCACATTTTAGACATGCTCAAACTCCTGGTATGCTGGAGTTGTCGGTTTTCTTTTTGTTTTGCTTTTCTTTTCTTTTTTTCAAATACTAAAGGTACAAATACAGCTCCATACATCAGGCCAAGGTCTCAGTCCACTGACCAACCAAGAAAAACAATTCACTGCAGTAATCGTCATCTTTTTACACCTTCAGACTCTGATCTCTTTCATCTTCCACACCCTCTCCTCTAATCTCCCTACATCCAGCTCTGTAATGTCCTAAATTGACTGGCGTCAGTCACAAATTGCAGCTTTCTTCCACACTTAGTTAGATTACCTGATAGGGACCAAAAAGAAACACATGTTTTGCTCACATCTGACTGCAGCTGGGCCAGACTTTAAGTGTGACAGATTTGTGAAACAGCACTCCTGTGTTCAGTCCCGGGTCGTGCTTTTCTCCAGTCTTTATTCCTGCAGGTAACAACCCTCTAAATATAATGTTAAAGCATTAGCTGCAGACAGACCATAATGACTCCGGCTCTCGCTGAAAATGTTTCCTTCACTTTTCGCCCCACAGCCAGTGTGCTGTTGTGTCTGATCATTAGAAAAGCCACAGTCATTTGGTTTGATTGAAGTCCCTCCAGGTTCCAAACTTTGTTGGTGTGAAATGAAGAATAGGAGGAAAACAAAAGACGGACCGGGAACAGAAGTGTTTTAATTTTCCTTCCCGTGGGGGTAAATAGCCATATGTAGCACTGTTGATGCTAATTGCTGGTTTGTTGATAATTGCATCACTCCCCCCCCCCCTTCTTTTGTCACTGCATATGTTTAAAACATAATTTGCATGCATCCCACTAAGTGTTTGGAGTGATGAATTAATAATGTGCTAACGGTTCGTTTCCCTTCTGTCCTCTCTCGTTCTCCCTTCTTTTGTTTATCTTCTCCTCTTCAGACGAGTTTAACCCCGAAGTTCCCAAACTGGAGAAAAGTGTCAGCGGCAGCAGCCCAACGCGTGACCGCCTCCTTCTCACGGTGGCGATGCTGCTCGTCTCCATCGTGCTGCTCTCCTAGCGACTGCCGCGGACTGTGACACTCGATGCATCGATGGACGGCCTTGTCAAAAGGGCTTTGGAATCAAGTTTTTTTTTTTTTGGATGTGAGAGTGGACAGAAATGAGGACGAGGAAAAAGGAAAAGTACGATTCTCTGAGAACATAAAAGGTAGAGGCCTTTTTTTCACCACATGCATTCTGACTCTGTACCTGGGCGGCATTATCATATGAATGGCGCAGCATTTTCATGAAGACCTGTTTGTTTGCCACCAACCTGGAGACCACGGCCAATATTCACACACACACAATTAAATGCTGCCCTGGTGCCTGGAGCTGGACGCAGACCACAACCACCATTTTTGTAGCATAGATGGATTTCAAATCACCTGAGGAGTTTATGAAGGGGCCGAGTTTAAAAGGAGCCCCGAGGTAGAGAAGCCAGCTTTTATGTGTGAAGGAACAGGCTGGACTCTGGAGACGGTGATGATCTCACCGGGCTGAGACAGGATGTTCATAAAAGAGGAGAGAGGAAAAAAAGAAGTAGTGAGTGATGAAAACTGCCACCACAGTCCTGGACGTTGAGGAATGTTTTCAGGCCGAAGTAATAGAGGTGCTGATAATAAAAAGCCTGAAGGTGTTTCTACAGAAGAGAAGAAGGAAAGACTTTTTCTGGGTGAAGATATCCACAGACCTTTCAAGAATCCATTTTCTGCAGATGTTAAAAGTACCCGTGGCTTTGTGATAGGTGCCGACGCGACGCCTGCGTTTCTTAGGAGATAGCGAGTATCATCCAAGGACTAGTCCGTTGTCTGCAGTTCTTGCCTTCACACAAAAGCCCTGTAGAAAAGTACAGACCCTGGACTAGTCATTTGATGGCACTTAGATGTGGTAGATGTGCTAGAAGTGTGTTTTGTTCCGATGATGCTTTTTACCCGCAGCACTCGCCGTAGATTCTACAGATGTCGACTCTTTCTCCTTGACAGTCATTGAGTGTACCACTAATTTTCCAGCCTCTCCCGGTAGCAGGACTGCTTT